TAGAAAGCACGAAAAAAAAAAGGAAAGAGAAGGCGCGCGTGGAGGGGGGGGGGGAGGGGGGTATCCAAGTCGGCTACTATAATTAACAAACAGGCGTCGCGGTGGAGACCACGAGAAATGCAATCGAAAGAGAAGGCGGGCGGAGGATTGGCTGAGGTGGGCATCCACACTGACTATTGTTGAAAAAATTGAGTCGTGGCCGAGATAGATATCGTACAAAGCACGAAAAAACCAACAGACAGGGGGTTGAGGCGGGACTCCCAAGTTGACTAGTGATAAACAAGGGCGTCGTGGCGGAGATAGTGCAGACAGCACGATAAGAGCAATTGGCAGGGGGGTTCCAAATCGACTGCAGTGTATACGACACAAGATTGCACAAACCCTGGACCGATTTTCAAAGCTTGATTACTCCACGACGAAGAGGATGCACAAACGAAACGATATACATTTTCGGAGAGCTCTCGATCAGACGGCTTCAACGCCGCCACTTTCGGCGCTGAGATTTCTCTGGTTTTAAAATAGAGCTTTGAAATCGGTCCAGGGGGAGTGTTATCTTGCGTCGTATACGGTAGGAAAAGGGGGGTCGCGGTGGAAATCACGAGAGAAAGCAATCGAAAGAGAAGCATGCGTAGGTTGAGGGTAGTAGCTTGTAAACCAATTCGCACACCCTACAGACCGAATTTGTCATGGCTCCAATAAACGGGATTCGACATGCTTGCTCCCTCTGGGTGCGGTAATGCCTACAACCACAAAAACACTCGGCGACCCCTTCAGTCCAAATGCTCTCTTGTCTCACATCACGAGCGGTGCACATCAGAGAATGTCTACCTATACCAGTAGCAGTCGGACACCACGGTTTGTTGAGAAACCGAATGGATGGTACATATCTTGTGGTTGGGGTACAGTGGCGGCTACCGTTTAGGTAAGAGAGACTATTTAAGATTTTAAGAGCGAGTGGTGCCGATTTAACAGAGTCAAACAGCCGTGTCACGAGCATGAGAAATACATACATTTCATAGCAGTACAGTTTTAAGAGAGAGCCGGATTTAAGAGAGAAATATTGGGTTGTCCCAACCCTCTCTTTAAACCGTAGTCGCCACCACTACTGCTGTAAAGGGCACCTCTTGACAAGTGTCAACGGTCAGCAAGCGTTAGGAGTAGTCATTGAGAGCAGGTGAATGTATCATCCTCTGTAGTCCAATGGTTAGGATATATCGCTTTCACCGATGAGACCCGGGTTCAATTCCCGGCAGGGGAGTTCTTTTTTCGCCGGTCGCACCGATAGTCGAAGCGGTGGTTGTTGTTGTTTTGTTTTTTTCACAATAAAAACCGTTCCGTTCTCTCTGCCCAGTACCTTCTTTTGTCCGTATCCTAGTGTTACCCTTGACGGGGTCGATTCCCGTGGTCACAGGCTAGTGGTAACCTTGAAAACGCTACAAGTAATGGCAGAGTCGCGAGTTCGAACCCCGATGGGGTGAAAAAAAATTACTTAACAACTTTGCGGGTGAAACAAGCGAAAAAAGAAAAAAGCTGAAAAGCTCTCGTGAGTACCAGACTTCGACGTTAGCACCGTAGACGAGGGAAAGGGACGGTTGGACCCTTCTCGCGATAAAAAAACAAAATTCAGTGCGCACCGCAGGAGGGAGGTGTGGCACGAAAATAAAATTAAAAGAAGAAAAAAGCCCAGGTGTTTTTATACCCCTCTCCTGTGTGACCCTGGATGGTTGTAGCTGTACGAAAAAATTACACTGAAAATGTATTGCTCTACATACACTAAAATGTGTATTACACTACAATCACCACGAAAAATGGGGGAAAACTGTCGTCAAAATATTTATGCATACTCCTGTACACTGTAGGACGAAAACACACGCAACCAAAGTCCACACACTTAACTCTCTTGTCTCACGTCACGACCCGGGCACATCAGAGGGTGTCAATATCAGTAGCAGTTGGACACCACCGGTTGTTGAGAAACCGACTCGGTTGTACATTGTACGTTGTACATGCATCTCTTCACAGCAGTTGAGACTATAAGGGCACCTCTTCACCTGTGCACTGACACGTGTCAACCGTCCGCACAACCACAGCCGTTTCTTTGGGAGCTGTTGTTGTTGTTGCTGTCTTCACATCAAAAACCGTTCCGTTCTCTCTCCCCAGTACCTTCTTCTGTCCAGACTAGTCTTAACACTTGACGGGGTCGATTCCCGTGGTCACAGGCTAACTTACTCAAAAAAAGCTACCAGTGTTTGAACGACAATGAAATGGACCCGAAACGGAGTACTCACAGAAAAATCACGTCATGTACTCATGTGCGAATACGTTCGAGGCGCCTCGGTGTGCGTCGAATGCGGCGCACGTTTACAACACGAGTCGAGAGTCAGCCAAGCCCGGCTGTGTACAAGCGCGACCTTTTGCTGTGGAATATCGTACTGCCGTAGGTGTTCAAATTTCGTAAGATACCACACCCCCGCGATGACAGATTTCAAGAGCTCGACTACAGCAGTACTCTGCAGCAGCAACAGCAGTGACAGACAGCAGTGCATGATGGAACCGTCTAGTTCTAGGCCCTTCCGAAAATGGATCTATCCGATTGTGGCATCCTCTTGAAAACCCAGTCCCAGCCGGGGGGGTGGTAACTTACGCAATCTGAGGAGTTCTGAAACCAGGCCAAGAGGAAGAGAGCTATTGCTTGAACCGCCTTACCTTCCGAGTCGTCTTCCTTGCCACCGCCACCACCAGAGCCTGCGCGGCCACCACCCGCCCGTCTTTCTCTCCCAGGCCTGGCCGCTGCTATTGAAGGGTCTCCCGGGCTGCTGCCTGCCCCCCCCCTCATGGACAGCAGCAGAGAAGCCAGGCGCTTTGGAGAGGGGGGCGACAACCGTGGACCCGCTGCTGCTACTTCTGTGGATGATTGCCGCTGCTGCCGCTGCTGCGCATGATTTCCGTCGTCCCTGCTGGGCGTTCGCGAGCCGAGCAGAAATGGCGGGGGGAGCGACGCTCTCTCCTCTCGCCGAGAATAAGCCGCGTCGACGCTGGCCCAAGCCGTGGTCGGCCGGTGGTGGCGGGCGCTCCATGGCTCGCCTGCTGCTGGACCGGAAGCCGCGCCCACGACGAAGAAGAGCAAGCGTCCGAGTTGTTGGGCTTGGTGGAAATCATACATCCTGCTGTATTTCTTTCTCTCCATTGTTTTCCTCTCTCTCTCTCTCGCTTTCCCGCGCGGAGGGCCAAGGGTCCAGCTGCTTCGAAACACAAATTGGGGTAAGGAGGACCAAGGGTAAGGGTGGCAAGTACGGGGCAGCCAGCAACAACGAGCCTATGCTACGCTATAACCCATGGACAGACCTAAACCCAATAGAGGCGAGGGATCCACACACCCAGCACAAAATACCATTTTGGGGGAGGGGGGGGTCAAACATTGGCGTTTTGGTTCTGAACTGCGGACCGGCACACAAACCATTTTTTTGGCCCCTTCCCCTGCCTGTGTGTCATGTGCCCTGGTCACTGGTCACCTGCCGATGCACTTTGTCTGTCTGCTGGTCTTCCATATACACAATCAGCAGGCAGCAGGGAGGGAAAAAAAGGAACCCACAGACCAGAACGCTTGGTAGCTGGAGACTCAAGGGAGATCGACGGCCTTTAGAGAGAGAAGGGAGAGCACCGCGGCTGCTACCAACAGAGGTCGGTGTATTGTACGGGGTGTTTTTTTCCGCATGCATGCATGTTTGCACCAGCCCTCGGATACGGTAAAAATGTGCGCGAAGGCAAAGCGCGCACTTGCTGCTTTTACGTTGTTTCCTTCACAGAACAGGGGGTTGGTGGGCCGCAGCAG